CCTCTATTTTTGTGTCTTGGAATATCCAAAAGCATCTGGTGGGTTGACCTCCGTGCTTTAACTGGGGTATGAAGATGGAAGAGGTCTGCTAGACAGCTCGAGAACTATTGGATGGATTGCCACAGAATTTGCTGTGCTAACTTTTCGTTTCCTTTAACGTCTCTTTAAGGGGCATCAAAATTACAACTTTTATTTCTGTTTATGACCAAATTCCTGCAAAACTAATGGCGCACCCTTCTGCCACAGCTGTATTTTGTGTGCCATGTTAATTAGTAAAATAAGATGGTGCGCTGCTGTGCCACAAAGATGCTCGACTGTTTTTGTTTCTGTAGTGTGCCGGGCTCAGACCACAGGTGTTTTGGGCCAATTTAGCCCCATTTCAGGGTATCAACTGATGTTCGGCCACATTATTTAATAAAGTGACACATTTATAGATCCAGTCCTTAACCTTTACGTTTAATATTTACTAGTTAAAATCTGCCCGAAGCAGCAGACACGGTTGCCAAGCAGTGCTGAATATTTTAGCGCTTGACGCTAATGTTAGCTACAAATATTACCTCTAGTTCTCACTCAAGAAAAAAAGAACCATTATTTCCTCCAACTAATTCCTCATCAACACTTGTTTTTCTCACTGTAAATTAGTGCTGCTGCAAGATGTTGCACCACAGTCTCCATTTTCTTCTCCCCGGTTGTTCCCTCCGGCAAGATAGTCTTAAAACATATCCCGCAGTGAGTGGCGTGCCATTATTTTCGAATCTCGTAGCGTGTGCATGTCCGAGATTAGAGCCCGATTATATTATGTGCGTGATGCAACCCGATTTCAAAATCTATTAGGATTTTATAAACTCCTGCAGTCTGAGCCCTGCATTAGTGTTTATCCAGTGACATGCTGACTGACCACAATATCCCTTATTGTTAAAAGAAATATGTTTTTTCTGTCTGGAAGAGATTTGATTCTCCAGCTGGCCTGAGGAGAACTCCTTCAAAAACCTCTCTAAGGTCCAGCGAGGGGTCAGGGAGAGATTTTGGGGTTTTATTACACAGACTAAAGTCCTGCTTCACTGGTTGCATCCCTCCCTTCTCATATCCTCTTGTCTTTATTCATCCTTAAATCCCTTTGTTTTCTTTCTGTCTGTTTTTTTTTTTTTTTTTCTTGCTAGTTCAATCTCTCAACCTGTCTTTGGTTTCAGCACCAAACCAGAAACCGAGCTGGGGAACGGTTGAATTTGACACCAGTTTTGAATGAAAGTAGTGGTGAAAGCATCAATAGGAATTTTTCTTCAATCTAGCATAAATGTGCTATTATGAGAATTGCTTGTAAATGAACCGTGTGATTCCGTGATAGAGGTCGTCTCTCTGTTCCAGACAGAAATTATACCCTGTCTGAGGAGCAACATGGCCTTAATCTGAGGCCTGATTGAGAGACGTCTTTTTTTGTTCTTGTCAGCTATGGTAATGACGAAGAGGATAGGGCCCGATGGTGATGATGATGATGATGATGATCGTGATGATAACGACAACGGCGATGACGAAAATCTCCTCGCTTCTTTGTTCAGTACCAGCAGGAGATCGCCGTGCTGCAGGAGAAGCTGCGGGCGTCGGTGCAGAAGCTGGAGGAGTACGAGGCCCGTCTCAAGGGTCAGGACGAACAGGCCCAGAAGGTGCTGATGGAGTACCAGGCCCGGCTGGAGGAGTCGGAGGAGCGTCTGCGCAGACAGCAGGACGACAAAGACCTCCAGATGAAGGGCATCATCAGCAGGTAGGAGGAAGAAGAAGAAGTTATTTTGTGCTAAGATGCGTCTTTGCCCATCTGCTCCGTGGCTCCTGTAACACTGCCTCCCATGTCCAGGTTAATGTCAGTGGAAGAGGAGCTCAAGAAGGATCATTCTGACATGCAGGCAGTGGTGGACTCCAAACAGAAGATCATCGACGCACAGGTCGGTTTCCTCTTTACAACACGCTGACTGACAGCTGAGCTCCAGCGTTCCCTTCTGCAGGTTGCATATGGTTTTGTAGATACTTTAAATCTTTGTGTTTCAAATTTGTGTGCGCTGTCACTTGTGGAAACAAAGGGTCACTGACATACAAAGAGATGTTTAATTCATAGCTGTCTCCGCTCTGGCATTGACAAGCTTGAATGGCTGAGCAGAATTTCCCAGCTCCCTCCCACTGTGTCTTATAAAACATACATTTACAAATTTCTTATCTAGTTTCCTGTCAACATGTAGCTCCTCTATAATCCATGGCGGTTTTTAATGGTACAAAAACTGCATTTAAAATCCGTCTTGAAAAACAACAAAAAAAAAGTGTTGATTTAGTGAATTTTGTGGCACAGAAGTCTGAATGGTCATTGTTAGGAGTATAATTATAAATTTAGCAGAGAATGAGTGTGTGGGCATAATTGTTGTCATGAAGGATTAAACCTTGCTGGACTCATCTCTGGATGCAATTTCATCTATCGCATGGGGAAAAAATTGTATATTTCCTGCATGCAAACACACACAGGCACAAAATTAGGTGAAGATATATATATGTATGTCTTTGTAGATTACAGTGTTGAGGAGAAAATGCAAGTATGCCGCAACGTGACATTTACACAAATTCCGACACAAACATGCATAGGTGATTAATCTCCTTCACGCCCACAGTAATGAGCGTTTGCATCTGCAAACAAATACGCCACGGTAAGGCAATAAGTTGTCTCGCTCAGTAAACAGGCGCAGAGAGAAGGAAAATAAAAAGGTCATTACAAAGGCACGGAGGGAAGTGCGCTTTTTGTGGATTAACCAGCCTCGCGTACGGGGCAGCGCGCAGCAACCACTTGTACATACAGATTTTTAACTTCTTCTTTTTTTTTGCTTTGTGCAATTTTTTCTTCAACAAACTAATTTCTCAGGTTGACCTCCTTGTTCGAGTCCCATAATGAAGTCTCCTGAAAAACATTTCATAATTATAACGCCCTAATGTGATTATAATTGGAGTTTGAATGTGTTCCCGAACAAATAACAGGCACAGTGGTGCAGTGGTTAGCGCTGTCGCCTCACAGCGTGCCGGTGATCTGAGGCCTTGCTCTGTGTACGTTTCCACTGGGTGCTATGGCTTCCTCCCACAGACATGCATGGTAGGTTAGCTGGTGGCTCTAAATTGAAATTAAATAAATTAGATCTATTTTGGGTTGTTGCCCGCCTTTCACCCAATGTCAGCCAGCATAGCCTCCAGTCCTCCGCAAACCTCTACAGGATGAAGCAGGTGTAGCTACTGGAAGGATCAAAAAAAAAAAAACTTAATGTAAAATAAATCAGGTGTAGGCAGCATTTTTTGAGCATCACTGGGCAAAAATTCCACTGGAATCTTTCAGCGTATTGTTATTTCAAGTGGCCTAATAGGAAACTAGAATTCCGCCCGGCTCCTTTTTTTAGGCTTTAGAAAATGTAGCCTGTGACGGGAGATTTCAGCCAATCACAAGGCAACCAGAGAGACAGTATAAATGGCAACAAAGGCTGGTGTGAGAACAGGATTTGGTGGTGTAATAGGTTATACTGATGACTTTCACTCAGAAGAGCTGGATTTGAATCCTGGGTGACGCCACATGTAAATGATGACTTTTAGCTTGACTGTCTCAGCACGTTTGAAGCATGCACTTGAGTTTTGAAGAGGTTCAGAACAGAGACGGGTGACGGACGAGTGGCAGAAGGAGCACCGTGTATTTTCAAATTTTTATATTTGCCCTGACCACAGGGAAACTGTAGAGTAATCAGTACCGTGTGTGTCTGTGAACAGTCTCTAGCTCGAGTGCTGAGGTCAAACAAGCTGATATTTACAGGTGACCTAGAATGACCTCTCCTCGGAATGATTAGATTTTGGGGTCAATCAGTGCAAGTCAGCTCTGCCAAAGGTCAAAGGTCACTTTTTTTTAAATGCCGTATCATAGCCGACAGGGGCAACTAGATCCCTGTTTTCTTCCTTTTATTTTTTTTTCTTGGATTGGTTCTGCTTTGTCTTGTTTTATAATTTTGTTCAACGTCAGTGTGATGCCCTCTTTGTTTCTGTCATCCACCTGCTAGCATACAGGGTTGACATCTGTAACATTTTCTCGTTCACTGAATGCCCTAACACAAAACTGACGTTGCTAAATTTGTTCAGGCCGTTAGTGTTAAGCTCCACAGTGTGTATTGCTCTTTTTCATCTTGGTCAACATTTTAGTAAAACTTTCCCTCAAATGGAGCAGAACAGGTAGCTTATTATTGTAATTTGGGGCTTTGCTAATAATCACCAACAGACCTCTATTCATGAACAGAAGGCATTCAGCACGGTGACTTTAGCCAGCATGCTAACTACAAGAAATCAAATGGTCACTTGGCTCTCGTAAATATAAGATTTGTCCAATTTTTGGGGAAAGGAGACTTCTATTAGGTTCAGACTCAGTCAAGTTGTATTTATATGTGTTTACAGGAGAAGCGCATAGCATCGCTGGACGCCGCCAACGCCCGTCTGATGAGCGCTCTTACCCAGCTGAAGGAGCGCTACAGCATGCAGACCCGCAACGGCATCTCCCCCACCAATCCCACCAAACTGCAGATCACTGAGAACGGAGAATTTAGGAACAGCAGCAACTGCTAGACAGACTGGCATCTGCCCCGAGTGAGTGTCGAGTGCCTGAGCGTGTACAGTTATTCAGCGAGAGGATGTCTACGTGCATGCACGGATGCATGCCTGCTTGAAAGACTGCAAGACTGTGTGTGTGTGTGAGAGAGAGATTTCAAAGCAGACAGTACTTTTGGAAGTCATTTCCACTTTCTTGGAGACGGTGTGGGAGTGAGGGCATCGCTCTGAAAGGGCCGGCCAGAAGAGGTGGAACTTCAACGTGATGGACAGATCGACAAGAGAACAAGATCACCAGACGGCCTTCGTTACCAGGGTGACGGCCAGAGGAGGCGGGGCAGAGCTTGTACATAGAAAACTCAAAGCTGTCCATCAGTCACACACCTGTCCGGTGTCAGCAGTCGCTGGGACAATTCAAGCCCCTGCCTATGCTTGGGATGAACCACTATATAACCACACACAGTGACGACCGCCACACACGGTCGCCCCTAGCAACCCTCCTCTCCTCCTCCTCCTCCCTCTCTTTATTCTGCTCCCTCTCGACGACCAAGTGGACCCACTTCAACCCAACAACACGCATCAAGGATTATCGCTTTAGTTGTCTTGAGAGGATTACTTTCCAGTGCTTTATTCTGAAGTCATTGTTTTTAAAGAACCAAATAGGAGCTATAAAAAAAAAAGTGATATTTTTAGTCCAAAACAATCTTCTTTATTTCCCTTTCCAATCCTGGGTGTGTTCCTGAGCGTCCCGCTGACCCCGCTTCCCTCCTCTCCATCCCTATGTAGTGCACTTTGTGAAAAGCTATTGGTACATGAAACGCCTTAAGTAAGGAACACACCTCGACTTTATCCCGCAGCTCCCCTATTTCTGCAAAAAAAAAAAAAAAAAAAAGAAAGGCACAACTTATACTGTGGATTTGTAAAGAATACAAAAATAAATTGTACACACGTAAATGTATTATAAACACTAAAGTAAATGAATTCTATGTGATACTATATTAATGAAATTTAATATAGATGTATGCAGTTTTCTTTTTCTTCTATAGAGTATACACACATATACCTATATTTGATAATCTCAAATATAAAAGCAGCCCTTTATTTAGGAGTGAGATCTAGTTTTATTTTTCTTCTCTTACGATGAAAGACTGTAGTGTGTAGCTTGCTTTGGAGCCCTGGAGAGGGAGACCCCGCCGAGCAGTGATCAGCACCTCAGTCATCTTTTAATCCATCAATGCTTTAACCCTTTACATACAGTATGCACTACATTTGAGAGAAATGTCTGCACAGTAGTTTGCACAGTCGAATGTAATCGGTTCTTCTTCTTCTTCCGGTGCTCATCACTGCTCTCAAAGACGCAGATCACTCAAACCCCAGATTTGGATTTTGCTTGGATCATACGTGAGGTCTTTTTTTATTTCTCTGGTTGCACAAAAGCTATTGAGAGACGTGTTTAGAGGCACTCACTCATACTATACACTGGACCGGTGGGCTGTTGTTATAATGGCCTCCTTAGTTACAACATTTTCTCTCTAACTGCTTTATTTGTTCGTGGTAATGAAGTATGCTGCATCCAAACTGTGACTCTATTGATCCTAGTGGCATCATCATCTCTCGCTCTCTCTCTCTCTCTCTCTCTTCTCCTGTCTCTTTTTCTTACTCGCCCCTTCCCTCCTCCATCCCTCGTTCTTCTGAATGTGAAGATGCTAACTCACAGTTGGTCTTAACACGGGGTTCGCTCCTTCCAATCCCCCCCCTGTCGTCGCTCCATGCCATCTTAGCATCTGTATTTTGTATATTTTTGTATTCATTTTTCTTACCTATAACAAACTATATACATCAAGTGTGAGGCTCTGCATGCTTCATCCTTGCTCTAGAGCCAATGGTAGCGTCAGTATCACCGTTTGTTTTCTTTGTTTGCCAGTTGGACAGTGATGATGATGACGACGACGAATAGCTTGCTGCAGACATGACATGAATATATGCTGAGTGTATCAAGAGGCTGGACAGCCTGGGAAAGTGTAAATAAAATGCTCACACTATTTTTACCTAATGTTATCAGAGCTTTTTGTAAATGTATCTTGTGCTCAAACTCTGCTGTATCATTATGGATATTGTAAATACAAAATAGCTCAGTCAGTCATCTGTCCTCATTGGTTAGAACTATACAATTAAATTAACCTTTCAGTGTTCTCTCTGTTAAAGCTATTGTTTTGTATTTAGAGTGTAATATCACTAGCCAAAAAAACTGACTAAGTAGGAGTTTGACTCTTGGGATGTATGCCTCCTTGTTTTCAGGCCAAGCGGAGTCCAGTTTCGATGAGATTCACAAGCACAATCCTGTATTTCTCATCAGTCTAGCTCTATGCACTTTTACGTTCAGTGGTTGGTGTTTATAACTAGCGTTTTGTTTTGGTTTTTTTCCTTTCTTTCCTTATTTTTTTTAACAAAGCACCTGTTTCAGGTGTTTGAAACCGTGGCAAAACCGAAGAACGGCATTTTTTGTAATAGCTCTATCTCAAACCTTTATATCAAATTATGAGAACAATTCAGCGTTGTTCCTGTTTGTCGCATCAGACTGAGGAACCCTGTGGTTGCAAAACAAAATACAGGACTTGTCATATCTTGCCGGGCATTCAGCCATGAAACCGTAGTGTGCAACTGTACAGACAAAAGCAAGACTATGTCACTTTTGACTGAATAAACTACACATTTCCCGTCTTACATTAATTAGCAATAAAGTTTAACACTTAGCTTAACACACTCAAAGGTTTTTCTGCTAATGCGCAGCCTTAATTTACTTCTTCTGTTTTGACCAGTAGCTTGTAGTGGTTAATATTACCCAGTGGTTGCAAAGTTTAGGTAAATTTGCATTTTTTTTGTTGCACATGAGCTACTGTTGTAATAGCTTAGCATTTCAGCTAAATGCTTAACTATTTTCTTTGCTAAACGGCAACTTTAGCTGTTTTAATCAGTGCCACTGTGTGCTCTTCGTGTATTTGCATACATTTCAGTTACAGAGAAAACCAAAGTTTTCTTTAAAAGATGAGTTGTTGCCAAACAGTCTTCTGTTTAGCATGTGGCTAAACATTTTTCTGTGTAGCATTTAGCTAGACTGTTAAGCTTACCGTTAGCAAACGTTAGCAAAAAAATGTGGTCAGTTTTGTCGTAAGTCCCAATACTGATTGAGTTTACTGACCTAATGACTTGTTTCAAATAGCATTTTAGCGATATGCTAATTACTAGTTTAGCATTTATGCTTGTTAAACAGTATGAAATCTTGACGCTAACTTAGACCTATTATTATTAACATGATAAGCAATAAACCTCTAACACATTTAGTATATTTAAAGTACACTAATTCAGTTAATTGACTTTATGGCTCTTAAATACTTAACAAAATGTTTATTTACTGTCTAGCTAAGTCAGTGCTAAGCAACAGCAATGTTATGTAGCTAAACTGTTGCTAACATTACAGCCTTGCAAAAACTCATATGTTTCTTGGTTGCATTTAGCTAAACAGTAAACTGTTTAGCATGTAGCTAAACTGGATTTTGCTGTGAGGGTTACTGCTTATGTTAGCAAATTTGGAGTAAATTTTGGCAATTTGAAGTGCATTGATTCAGTTTACAACAACTCTTGTAGCCTATCCTGGTTACATTTAGCTAAACAGTATGAAATACGAGCTAATACTACAGCCTTACAAAAACCCATACGTTTATTGTTTAGCATATAGCTAACTGGTATTGGCTGCTGGGGTAGTAGTAGTAGTAGTTTAGCATCTAGCTGTGGTTGCTACACAGCAAAAGTCACATAGTCTTGCTTTCAACTTGACAAAAACAAGTTTGTTTTTTAACAGATACAAGGCTCTCATTTCCCATCTCTACATTGAAGCAGAAAAGGTACTTCAACGTTTAGTATCTAATTTGGCTTCTCAGCTATCAGTTCATTTATCCCACCCATGCTCCCACTTCAGCTCTTCAACTTTACGAATCAGAAAACCCTGAGCTCACTCTTGACACAGTTCAGCCACTCCGAGAAAAGATTAATCAGAAAATATAAAGCTATAAATAAAGCAAAAGATGTTGTATGTTTTCTATTATCTTGTAGAAAATACTTTTGTAAGTATGTTGAAAGTATAAAGTATTTGCTGGATTCTGCTTCCTTTGACGACAGTGACAAAACAATAATGTACAGAGGAACTTGTGTTGACAAAATGTGGCTGTGCAATTTATGTACATTTGCAACTAGACCTATTAAAGTTTTATTTAGCTATTTTAAAAAAAAAAAAGATCTCGTCCTCCTGTGTCTTTGTCCCATCGCCTTCCTTTGGATTGTTCTCTGTGACGCTTTGTTATTCTGAAATGTAAATGAAGCTTAATTCGCCAGCATGTGTGATGAGTCACATGTTCATTAAATACTCAAGCAGGCCTAGATAGATGACAAGCAGCTAGAGAGAACATATGCTCAGACTCGGGGTCCAAAGGCAGAGTGGAGGGTATGATGGAGGGATGTGAAAGACCCGTTTGAGCAGCGTCGACTTGTCTAAGCGAGCCTGACCTACATACTGCCTGATTGTTATTCCCTACCGTGGGTAACGAAAAGCCTGAAATGTCCTTAACAACAGACGAAATGGCTGCAAATTGATCTGAAAGTTATATAACAAAGCTGTGCCTTGCAATTGTTTTTGAGTGTCGCTACAAGGCAAGAGAGACGTGCTTTGAAATATCATCACTGTACTCGTATTGTTAGGGTCCGAGCACCCAAAAGGGTGCGAAGACCCTATTGGAACTGCTCGGATTATTATTATTATTATTATTATTATTAGGGTCCGAGCACCAAAAGGGTGCGAAGACCCTATTGGAACTGCTCGGATTATTATTATTATTCGTGCCAAAGACACGCATTTTTGAGGCCCTAAACATAGTCGAAAACTCACCAAAATTGCCATGTACATCAGACCCGGTGAAAAATTTTATAATTTGGAAGAACAATACACACCTCAATAGAAAAATTGCTCCACAGCACCACCTTCTAAATTGTCAAAAGCACATTTGGCCTAGAGCTACGCAATTTTGTAGGCATATAGAGCAGGTCAGGATGACTAAAAAAGTCAGGCTGGGCCAAGTTGTAAAATGCAACACGGCTCAACGGCGCCCCCTACAATATTTCAACAGATTCCCATTGGGGCTATGTTTGATTTACAACTACCTCATTTGCTACACATATGTAACAACTTGTGATGCACAAAAAAGTCCATTAGCATGTTTCTGTAAACCCAACAGGAAATCCGCCATGTTGGAAAAACGGCGAGCATGCCGGGCCATTTTTTCTCAAAAATGGCCATTTTTGGCCATTTTCAAAATCGAACTCCTCCTTGGGGGTTCGTCGTACACACCTGAAATTTGGTGAGCACAAACTACATGACATGGTGACTAAAAGTTCTTCAAACACTTCGCAGATGAGGCCCGGTTTGGAAATGCCGACCCAGGCAATTTCGATCAATGGCCATTTTGTCGATTTTCGCTGTGTTTTTTGCATTCAACTGACGCTAGTCACAAGGTTGTTTCACCTACAGCTACAAGATTTGCTGGAGATATGTAGCAGGTCAGGACGCACAAAAAAGTCAATCAGCACCAAGCCCTAA